CGTGTGCTCTTCCGATCTCACATTACCTTCTTCTCTGCAAATTCCGCACCTTCTTATATCAGGACAATTATTCCTTGTATGACCTGTAAAAGAACAGTACAAAATGTAAAATAATATGTATAATTTAGATTACAATAATGGTAATATTTTTACAAAATTAATGGGAGATACAGAGAAAAGAGATTATGATCAAAAATAAGTTCTTTACACATTACCTTCTTCTCTGCAAATTCCGCACCTTCTTATATCAGGACAATTATTCCTCGTATGACCTGTAAAAGAACAGTACAAAATGTATAATAGTACATAATATGTACTATTTAGATTACAATAATTGAGAACACTAAAAATGGTAATATTTTTAAAAAAATTAATAAGAGACAGAGAGAAAAGAGATTATGACTAAAGATAAGTTCTCTACATTACCTTCTTGTCTGCAAAACCCGCACTTTTTGCTGTCCATGTTAGATATTGAACTTGAATATTCGTGTAATTTCTTATATTAATTTTATATATATTTTCGCCTCTCTCACCCTATTTCCTCACTCTTTCACGTCTTTTTTACTTTTTTTTACGCTTATTGCTCTTCTTTCACCTAGATTTACTTTTTACTTACTCTAACAACTTATCCCGCTAAAAATCGCAATGCTCGTCAACCGCTAACGTAAGTGTTTATATACAAATGATCTTTGCTCAGCTGGGTTGCGATCGGGGGATGTATTTGTTATCATTTTATGATTATTCAATTATTCTATTATTCTGTTATTCTGTTATTCAGTGTTATTATTCAATTCTATTATTCAGTATTATTCAATTATTCCATTATTCAGTGTTATCATTCAATTCTATTATTGAGTATTATTCAATTATTCTATTATTCAGTGTTATCATTTTGTCCTTGAGTGTTTAGAGATAGAAAATAGTGATAAAAAAATAAAGATAAAACGATATAATGATGAAAATACTAATAAATGTAAAGAAATACACCTATGGAAATATTTACTACGCTAGCTTTAAAAATAAAAGTGAAGACAAATGACTCAAGCAAGAAGATAGCCATTTCTTTTCTACTTAGTCACTTTAAGTCACATCGTCATAATCAAACAGTGGATGTTTTTCAGCAAAAGTTACATACCGAAGTTATCCTGTTTTTGTCTTTTTTAATGTCTGTGAAAGACAGAATAGCTTCTGTGTTGATTTGTGCACATATCTCTTGCTAAAAAGCTTCCTAGAGCATTTAAATACATATTACCGAAATAAATGTCTCATTTTATAGCAGAATGCTAATAGAAGCATATAATTTTTCGACAATGATATATTAATTTTTTTATAGTTAACACAAACAATCAATTCACTTGGTAGAAGAATTGGAGACTGAAAAATTTTCTCATAACAAACGAGTTATCGTTTAATATATTAAACACTGTAACTTGCGTCACTTATTAGAATACAATATACAACTTAAAACAGCATTATTTAATTAATTATCAAATCGCTTCCTTCAAATGGAAATCTTTAACACTTGTGAAAGTTACCGCTTTAATTGAAAATATTAAGGATGAAATGAGGTTACAAAAATGTGATTGTGATAAGAATAGTAAAGGAGTTCAGAGATAAAAAAAAGGTTTAGAATGAATATTTAGGAGAAAAAGGTTGTGTAAGATAAATAGAATTATGCAGGATAGAGAAAGAGAATTATAGATAGGAGATATATATTGGATAGAAGAAAAATTTTGGAAATGTTAAAGATAGGAGAATACAAGGTAAGCATAAGTATAGGATAAG